CCTTTCTTTGGAATGGGTACAAATATGGATCTCTTCCAGTCAGTTGGCCAGGTAGCTGTCTTCCAAATCTCTTGGCATAACCGAGTGAGTGCCTCCAAAGGGGCATCTGTTTGTTGAAACATCTCAACAGGTATTCCATCAATTCCTGGAGCCTTGTTCTTTGGCAATTGTTTCAGTGCAGCTTCGACTTCTTCATTCAATATCATTGGTTCTTGATTATATGCCATCTCCTGAAATGGATGTAGAATGACCAGTTCTTTTTGGTACAGTGCCTTTGTGTATTTCTTCCATCTTATTTTGATGCTTCCTGTATCATTCAATATTTTGTCCATAGAATCTTTCAATATTGCAACTCGAGGTTTAAACTTTTTCCTCAATTTTTTCAGCTTGAGAAATACTGAGTGTGTTCTTCTCTTTTAGTTTCTAACTCCAAGTCTTTGCACATTTTATTATAGTAGTTGGCTTTGTCTGCTTGAGCTGCTCTTTGAAATCTTCAGTTCAGCTCTTTTACCTTGTCAGTTCTTCCATTTGCTTTAGCTACTCTTCGCTCAAGGAAAGCTTCAGAGTCTCTCCTGTCATCCATTTTGGTCTTTTCTTTTTTTCTCATCTTTTTAATGATGTCTTGATTTCTTCATGAATGATGCTCTTTATGTCATCCCATAATACTTCTGGTTTTCAGTCACTGGTGGTCAACGCTTCAAATCTATTCTCTAGATGGTCTCTAAATTCAGGAGGGATAGGAGCTCTGGTAGCATAGTGCCTAAGGCACTTGACAGCTAACCAGAAGGCTGGAGGTTCAAACCCACCAGCTCCTCCTTGGAAGGAAGGTTGAGCAACCTACTTCTGTAGTGATACTGTCTCAGAAACCCAAGGGGTTGCTATGAGTTGGATCTGACTTGACAGCACATAACAATAACAAATATTCAAGGTCATATTTTAGTTCTTGTGGCCTTGCTTTAATTGTCTTCAACTTCAGGTTGAACTTGCATATGAGCAGTTGATGGTCTGTTCCACAATCAGCTCCTGGCCTTGTTTTGGCTAAAGATACTGAGCTTTTCCATCGCCTCTTACCACAGATATAGTCCATCTGATTCCTATGTATTCCATCTGGTGAAGTCCATAAGTATAACCGCCTTTTTTTGTTGTTGAAAAAGGTATTTGCAATGAATAAGTTGTTGGTCTTGCAAAATTCTATCATGGAATCTCCAGCATTATTTCTGTCACCAAGGCTAAATTTTCCAACTACTGGTGATTCTTCTTTGTTTCCAACTTTTGCATTCCAGTCACCAGTGATAACTAATACATCTTGATTGCACATTCGGTCAATTTCGCACTGCAGAAGTTGATAAAAATCTTCAATTTCCTTATCTTTTGCTTAGGTGGTTGGTGCATAAATTTGAATAATGGTCATATTAACTGGTCTTCCTTGTAGATGTATGGATATTTTCCTATCACTGACAGCACCGTACTTCAGGACAGATCTTGAAACATCCTTTGTGATGATGAATGCCATACCATTCCTCTTCAAATTGTCATTCCTAGCATAGTAGATCATATGGTTGTCTGATTCAAAATGCCCAAAACCAGTCCACTTCAGCTCACTAATGCCTAGGATAGCAATCTTTATATGTTCCATTTCATTTTTGACAACTTCCAATTTTCCTAAATTCATACTTTGTACATTCCATGTTCCGATTACTAACGGATGTCTGCAGCTGTTTCCCCTCAATTTGAGTAGTGTCATATCAGCAAACAGAGATCCCAAAAGCTTTACTTTATCCATATGAGTAAGGCTGGTTTTACTCTGTTGGTGCAGCACTTTCCTAGTCCTATTTTGAGAGCCTTCCAACCCAAGTGGCTCATCGTCCTGCACTATATCAGACAGTATTTCCGGGCTATTCATACAGTTGCCTAGTTATGTAACAGACAGTGTTTCTCTGATATTCATAAGGTTTTTCCTGGCCCATTCTTTGTGAAGAGGATGGCCTCTTCCTTCCTACTCTGTCTCAGTCTACAAGCTACACCAAAACCTGTGCACCATGTGCAACCCCACTGGCATTTGAAACACTGGTGGCACAGCCTCAAGCCTCACAGCAACACACCACCAGAGCACAAGAAACCAAAGACAAGTTTGTCTCCCTCAGCTGTTCTAAACCTCTCCACCCGCCCCTTACCAGAGTCCCTGCTGCTTGCTCACTCTGTCCTGGACGCCCTGGCTTTCCTTTCCTTTCTTCTCTGCTTTTCAAATATACTGCCTAATAATCACTCAGCCTTGAAGTTTCTTTGCTCTATCACAATTTCTACTTAAGAATTTTCCTCATAATCCTCCATTAACTTTCATAAATTATCATAAGAGAACATACTTGGACTTGCTCAAACTACTTTAGAAAACACGAATAATGAAGTGTAGTGGGGCACTATTCTCATATCTACCTTTTACAAATGCACAAAGTCAATAAATGAATGACTAATAAAAGACTAAGAGGTTTTTGAACATCTCATTCCCCAGAAAATAATACTGTCAAAAGTACTATATTTATTCAGGGCAAGGAGAAATCCCAACAGTGCACTCTCTGCTCTACATGCTAGATTTTATGATGGTTACTAAATGGAAAAAGGAGCCCTGGTGGCTCAGGCAGTTAAGAGATCTGCTGCTAACCAAAAAGTTAGTGGCCTGAACCCACCCAGTGTCTCTGCAGGAGAAAGAGCTGGTGATCTGCTTCTGTAAAGGTTATAGCCAAGAAAACCCTAAGGGGCAGTTCTCTGTAACATGGAGTCACTATCAGTTAAAACATGACTCAAACGCACCTAATAGCAACAACTAAATGGAAAAAAGCTAAAACTTGAATTGAAGTCAAAATATCCTCAGGTTCCCCCTTGATTTATACTTACTTGTAATCTAGAAATTGGTAAAATATCTCCAAAATGTTTGCCAATACACTAAATCCCGTCATCATTCTTTTGAATTAAGGCAAGGAATCCAAAGAAAGTCACATATAAATTGACCAAGAAAAGCAACAAGTTAGAACATTAGCACCAGGTAACAATGAAAAATTTATAAAGGTCTAAGTAAGAAGATGATAACTTGGACCCTAAAGATGTTGGGCACAAAATAGGAGATGGCAGTGGAGAATGCTGAGGGGTCCTGGAATAGGTCCTAGGAACCTTGAAGAAAACCTGTCAAAAACAATATAGATAGAAAAGGATTCCAACACCTTCACTTACTTACTTGTTCTATCGAGGTTTCATCTGTTACCACTTCTTTCTAATGATTTTAGCTAAATTTAACAAGTCTGAAATTTAAAAAAAAATACTCTAGCCCTTGCTTATATCTCAAAATAATGCACAATGAAGGAATGATACATTAACATTATCTCAAAATTTCCATTACCTTTCCCCTTTCTGGCGTTTTAAGTTTCCTTTATATTCATCCCAGGCACTCTTATCTGAAAGATCACCAGACAAAAAATCTTGAAGGTCTGGTCCGTTCTGTAGAAACTCCTTCCTTTTATCTGGCAAGGAACTTAACGTTCTGACCGGACTGCATAAATATCTTCCCAATACCTAGAGAAAGAATTCATTATACTATTTAGCTTATTTAGTGGCATCTCTGGTAATTTAGTTTTAAGTCATTATAGTATCTAAAGCAAGGTAAAGCCACAGAACTGACTCAGAAATTATGTCACACTATTTAGAAGCTCAGGGAGCTCTGGTGGCGTAGTGTCAAAGGCATTTCACCGCTAACCAGAAGCCTGGCAGTTCAAACCCACTAGCCACTGCACGGAAGGAAGACTGAACAATCTATTTCTGTAAAGATTTACTGCTTCAGAAACCCAAAGGGGGTCACTATGAGTCGGAATCGTCTCCATGGCAGTGAGGTTTTGGATTTAGAAGCTCTAATTGTGTAAGCTTAGAATCTAAGATTAAAGACAATTCAAGGAGAACAAACCAAACATAAAGAATGGGAGTTAACTGCTGCTAAATTTAGGAGCTCTGGTAGCATAGTGCCTAAGGCACTTGACTGCCAACCAGAAGGCTGGCAGTTCAAACCCACCAGCTACTCCTCAGAAGGAAGGTTGGGCAATCTACTTCCATAGTGATACTGCCTCAGAAACTCAAGGAGGGGTCTCTATGAGTCATCTGACTCGAAGGCACATAAAAACAACAAATTTAGGAAAGATCTAGAGACCTTTGGATCTGACTAACCTATGTGACATCCTCAAGTAGCCCACTTAACTGTCTTTCCTTATGTCTTATCTGCAATAACTGGATTAGATACTACAGCTTTGAATTTTCTATCCCTGACTTGCATCAGGGATATAAAGAAAGATATTTGCAATCAATCTTTGTCTGGACAGCATAAATGCAAAACAGAGGAAATGCTCAGTTGGTTTCGGAGAAATCCAATGTTTTATTTTCTAGTTTACATGGTTTCTGCGTTTGAACATTACAGTCCCTTATACATACTTGTTGAATTTAAGAAACTATGGTATTTGGCCTGTAGATCTGAACAGAAAAGTGTACAAGATAACCAAGACACTACAAAGTTCAAAAGCCAGCACGTGTAATACAAAGGAACTTTGAACAATTCAAAAAGAATGCCCGTCAGGGTGAGGCACGATTGACACAGCACTTGTTCATGTCTTCCGCTAAAAGACCCAAAGCTCTATTTAGTGCACAGTAAGAACCCCATTGTCCTTATTTGTCAAGCCCAGTTGTTACGTGGTGTCATTTGATTCCCACACATGATAAACCCCGTATGTGCAGTGTAGAACTGCTTAGTAAGGTTTTCAAGGCTGTGGCCTTTATGAATTACATCGCCAGGCCTGTATTACGATGTGCTTCTGGATGGGTTCGAACCGCCAATCTGCCAACCTTTGGGCTAGCAGTCCAGCTCTTAATCATTTGCGCCACCCAGGGTCTCCTGTGGACCCGAATAAAAAGTACTTAGTTGGAGTGCTCATGTAATGTCTCAATAAATATAGCATACAAAACACTGTGATAAGCAGAAAACAAGCCATTAGCGCTAGCCCAGACA